CTTCGGCAAGGCGATCATAGATCCAGATGGTAAAAAGACTGTAGAGAATGGGAGACAATGCACATCCACTAGTAGTAGTAGCAGTAGTAGTAGTAGTACTAGTAGTAGTAGTAGTAGTAGTAGTAGTAGTAGTAATAGTGGTAGCAGTAGTAGCAGTAGTAGTAGTAGTAGGTGCAGCAGTAGTAGTCGTAGTAGGAAAGGGAATAGGAGTCGGAGTCATCGTCGGTTGTCACCCACTCTTACATCTTGGCAGCTCTGCGCGGCTGCCAGTTCGCGCCTACAACGATAACTCAAGTCCTCAGCATCATCCGGCACCAACCCCAACAGAAGGTAAGGCCACACAGAACGATGACGATGCTAACGGGTAGTGCACATGACATCACCAATTGTCAAGTGCAGCGTAGTAGCAGTGGCAGTAGCAGTAGCAGTCGCCGTAGCCGTAGCGGCAGCAGCTCTAGCAGCGGCAGCAGTGGCAGTAGCATCTGCAGTACTACTGGCACCTGTACCAAGTGCTCGCTCTACCAATGGTGCTGGCACTTGTACTGGCACCAGCGCTAGCAGTTGGCAGGTCGTCGTCGTAGTCGTTGCAGTCGTAGTAGTAGTAGTAGTAGTAGTAGTAGTAGTAGTAGCAGTAGCAGTAGCAGTAGCAGTAGTAGTAGTAGTAGTAGTAGCAGCAGCAACGAACATGGCTCTTCACAGAGAGTATCGTTCTCGGGCTTCCCCAATCGCTTGGCAGAATGTGGAAGAGTTGACGAAAACAGGAACCTCCTCAACACCAGACTAGTGCTCCAGGAGTGCATGTTTTTGCTCATGTACTGTAGGCTGCCTTCTCGCACCTTCTCTAGATGTGCACCTGCAAAGCAATCCCGGTGTCGCCGGCAGCACTGGATCGGCGTTCAACGGTGACAGCGATGATTCACTCTTGCTTAAGGCTTTTCAGGTCCAAGCAGCAGAGGCAGACATAGGCCAACTTCAAGAGCGCAGCATCCTCCATGAGCAATGCTTCAGCTTCGGCCAGCAGCTGGTCTTGAGGAGGCGCCAGATCCCGAGCGGTGGCGCTCTTGGAAGGCGTCGGCACTCCGGAGCCGGATGCCTCCGCAGAGTCGGGAGCCCGCGTCCCTCCCTCTACCCATGCTCCACTTCGGGCCTTGTTTTGGGACTTAGCTAGCTGCACCCTGAAGGCTTCACTTCTGCTCTGTGGATCTCGCAACGCCTTCCACGCCTTCTGTGAGGGAGCAGCCTTGCCGGCCGCTGCAGCATTGGCTTCTGCAGTCTCGGCCGCCTTTGGAATCATTTTTTATCGTCTGTGGTTCTGGACAAAGGAAATGCTGGTGCACGCAATGCTACAATCCTCTCACTGATTCTTAGCAATCTGCTTCGATGAGTGTGCACTCTCAGGCCTACCTTCACAAATTATCGTGGCTCCTGCCCCAATCCAGCACTCTTCCTTTAATCGCTTGTGCCTGGGCCGCGCTCTGAAGCATAGGATCGATCAGGGTCAGGACGTTTTTGAGGCACATTGTCGCTGTCAGCAAGGGATCCTCCCCATGGAGGCACGGCAACTATGCGCAACTGAATTGCAGCATCCAGCAGTTGCATGAGATTGGACTGCAGCATTGGCAAGAATCCGATCATTTCGGAAACAAGCAATCCCCACTCCTCGCCATTCAGCACATCTCCCTCCGCGGCTGGAGCCTTTGGCGCCTGTCCAAGAAAATCATTGATGATGGCAGAGAGGATTCTAAGCCGAAGTCTGGCCTGGGGGACAGAAGGTGCAGCACCGGCTGGCCCTGTGCGCTGCTCGACATCCTGTAGGGTGTCCAACCGTTTTGATACAGCCTTGGGCAGACGACCTAGAGGCCTAGAACATTAGTGTTCACCTGCGCGGTCAAACTAACTCTTCATCCTTTATCACGCATCACACGCAACCGTCTCGAATCCCCATCACGATGCTGCAGGAGCCACAGAAGCCACGCACTATCCTCTATCGGGCATGTAACAAGCTTTTACATAGATTCTCCGTTTTTTGTACCCACTGTGGTGCGACCCTACAGTTCTCCCGGATTCCCCTTAGCTGCGGTCGGAAGAAAAGCAAGCTCGAGTTGTCTCTCGTCGGCTTTGCTTTGCGCAAAGCTGGAGCCGAGGGCAGTCCCCCCCACTTCGCGCAGGTGTGCTGCTCCATTCAACATTTTGATGGATCTCTCGTCGGCTCTTTCTCTCTTGCTTGCTTGCTAGGGGTCTGGAGGCCAAATAAATCCCTTTCCCGAAGGCCTCTTTTTCTTTCGCCAGGGCTCTCTCTCCCTCTCTCTTCCTCCGTCTTTATTCCACGGACCGTAACTAGCTTGCTCCGGCCAGTTGTCAAACCTCTCAGTCCTCGCCACTTCCAAGCTTTCCCACGACGTTGGTCCTAAGCGGTTGGGGCAAATTCACCTCCCATCTGCCAATGCAACCGCGTGGCAACAGGTGTTTTGGGGGTTTACCGTGCAGGGTTTGTCCGCCCTCGTACGGCTGGGATCTATTGTGTAGGGCTTGCGGCTTAAAGGTGTTAAGGCTTAGGGCTTAGAGTTCCAGGTTATAATTTTCGATTCTTACAGATGTGGGATGGTGTACATGGAACCAAGATGACTAAGATTGGGGTGTTAGTACAAAGTTATGCAGATTTAACCTGCCAATTAATCATAACCGCACCTACATGATGTAAATTATATTCTACACATAAACAGCTGATTGGGTTTTACGCTCTCGCGCTTTAGGGTTTAGGAAGCCTAGACCGACTATGGAATATTCGTCGCTCACTCTCGCACGCAGCTGGCAAGGCTCTGTTGTGTTACATGAATTGTATGCTCTAGAATACGACGAGTGATATTAATAGTGATGCTTCTAGTGTTAGATGAATATTCTTAATGAAAATATGATGAACATGGATGACTTGCGGGAGACCGAAGCGAGAGGACGCAGAAGAATACTTAGCCCATTCTGGTGTTGATAGCATGTTAAAAATCATCTACATTGGAGTTGTTGAACTTTTTAAGCCAGTTAGTAGTAGTCGTCGTTGTTGTGAGAGTAGTCGTCGTCGTTTTCGTAGTAGTAGTAGTCAGTAAACAGATCAGCGATTCATAAAAGTGTGACAAGAGTAGAAGTACAGTGGAGGTTGAGGGTGTACATGAATAGTAGCAGTTGTGATAGAAGACTTTGCCTATACTGGATGAGCCAGTGGTAGTCGATGAGTTCTAAGTCGAAATACCTACCAGATGAGATGAGGCTACTAGCATCTAACTGTCTTCGGGTTATGTTAGTTGTGGTACAGCTTTAGGCAAGTTGTGAGTTCCTCTGTCATTCTTTAACGTTGGTTTAGTGGTTTATTGTACAAAACTTTTCGCCTTTATCTCAAGGGCCCTTCGAGTCGCAACGGCAACAGCAGAAACATATACAACTGTACATAAGCTGTTTGCCTAGACCAATGCATAACAAAAGGCACGCACTCAAGCTGCACACGTAAGTTTCGAGGTGATATTCACACCCGTCTTACTTATTGATGCGTGCCAGGGGCTCAATCGCTTCGCGATGTTGTGGGAGCTTTCCGATCAAAACCTGTACATTCCGTAGGCTTTCTACCAGGCTGCAATTTCCGGTAACTACTAGATTCACTAGATCACTATTCCTAGCTTTCAACTGTACAAACGTGCACTGCGGCTCACGACTGTTGTAACGCTAGCACCTCGTCTCTGGACAACTTGCGTGTCGGCTCCGACAGTTGGACCATCGCATCCTCCATCAACTTAAACAGCTGAAACGGCTTGAGGCTTTTTGTCAAAGCATCAGCTAGTTGCGTCGCGGTGCCTGTCCATCTTATTTTGTCTCCGCACGGAGACAACACCTTCCAGGATTCCACTTCTTCAATCCATAATTGTTGTCTCATGGCCGTTAGCCGTTAGCTCTATAGCAAGCCTTTTGTCCGCGACTTTGTTGACTTGGATGCTGTTGAGATGGTCACTAAGACTCCGACAGTCCGTGATCCACAGATGTCTCATCTTCCTTTGCGATTCCTCCAACCAACCTTTCAGTGTTGGCAGCTGGCCTCGAAGTTCACAAATGATTGCTCTCAAGCGGTCTCCATTCTCCACTGCCGTTTGCATTGCGAACGTTTCCGATGCCAATGTGCTGCGACACAATCTCTTGATGGTTGTGGAGCCGTAACTCAAAACATGAGCCACGTGCACGTTGGAGTCCGATGCGCTCTGCGTCGTGATGTAATGCAGTCTGCCCTGCTGGCTTCTGAAACCTGGCTCCTGAGCGAAGCTTGCGTCCGAAAAGGTTACGACGCAGATGTCATGCCAGTCCAGCCTCCCTGCAGGATAGTACAAGGATCTTCCTTGATCAGCTTGCGCCAATTCCACAACGCGGTTGGCCTCATTCAAATCCGCGATTGTCGCCGACGAGCAAGCTCTCTGCAGGCAGTTTACCTTGTAACACAGATCAGGCCTCGCGAACCTAGCAAGCCATGCCAAAGACCCCACTATGCTCCGAAGGCTTGTTGTCTCGGCCTCAGTTGCACGATCTGTTGTCTTGCATCCGGCTGCGATGTTGATCTTCCTCACCTGTCCTCCGCATCAATCCTGACACTGAAATCCTCAGATTGCCTGAACCCCTGCCTCAGAATCGGAAGTCCGTGTGCTCGATCTTGCCTACGACGAACTTGGAGAGTATTGACTGCATCGTGTCATGTCCCTCCTGGGTTGCACACCACAATAGGTCGTCCACATGAGTAGCGAGAATTATCACCGGCAAACCGCCCGACCCGATTAGGTAGTACAAACCCGGTGCAATCTTGCTAACTGACAACCCTTCCGCCTTTGCCTCTGAACACAGCCTGGTGTAAACCCTCGCCCTGCATATCACTACTTACTGCATGCGGACACACTTCTGGCAGCAAATAGCACGATTGTTGGCAGGGCCCAGCCTGCCTGTCGTCACTCGACCCAGGCGGGCCAGGCCCTGCTTCAAGAACTCCGATTGAAGAGAAGCACACATGGGTGCAACGACTCATCATCCGCAGCGGCTCCGCTGCACCATATCCCTTCACCCAGGGCGGGCGGGCGGGACTTTGATATTATGGCTGCAGCGGTCAGCAGCATGCAGATCAAACAAGAAAAAGTCAAGGCAACAAGCTGACAACTCGCATGACATGCAGTAGTGATCGTACGGCACACGAGGCGTGAGGTAGCCCCCATCGTTCCGTAAATCGGAAGTCTGCACAGGAGCATCGCATCTTCGGGCACACCGGGCAATCCTCCTGACGGTTGCCTCATCAAGAGAATTCTTTCCATTGCCGAAGCCTGAAAGTAGGCACTCGATATGTCACCGCAGTACAGCTTCAATCTCCTCGACGCTGCATAACTAGCGATGAGACAATGAACCTCAGCATCAGCCGTCGGGCTATCGCACCGAAGCTCGTCACGGTTCACCTTTTCCAGGTGACCGCATGCCACCAATCGACTGCGATACTTCGGCTTGTAGCCCTCACTGCCTTTCATGTGTTCATTCTTGTCCACATCTATCCACTGGCTTGGGATCGGTTGATGTCCCTCGTTCAACAGCTTCTGAAGCATCTCTCCTCGAATGGGAATGGCCGTATTGTAATGCTGATACTTATTCCATTCATCCTTTCGCGACTGCTTGAGGCCTTCTTTGGCATCGTCATCACATTTGTGAATGTTCTTGCTTCCCGCGCTTTCTTCTCCCTGTCCAAAACGCTCTGCCATGAATGCCCTGAACTCTGGGTTTTCCTTCGGAATCTCAGGCAATGACGATAGATCCACCGGGCTGTCGCTCCGGATGCGAAACAATCTGAACCCTGTCCATGCTAAGTTGGTGATCCCGCTCGCTTCTGGAATCATGCCCCGCTCATCGTTCACCACAGCCTGCGTTCCATCTTCAAAGAACCGATGTGTCTCTCTTGAATATCCAATCTTGCTAAGATCACCGGGGAAATCTTCAGGGTTAGGCTCGTACATGTATCGATGCGGCATCACATGTACCCGGAAATGCATGTTCTGTCCAACCTTCCAATGGTCTCTGCGTTCACATGCCGTCATCATGTCATCAGGTTGCATCTGCTGTTCCAATGCTGTCTTTTCTTCTTCTGGCCCGGGTTCCTGATGTGCTTCACTTGCGAAATTCAGAATGGCATCTTGTAACGCATCCAAATCGAAACCCAATCCCTCTAGTTTGTTCTTCTCGGGCTCACCCAGCATAGGAATGCTTCTACTCGTAAATGCGCTGATAGACCATCACTCTCCCTCAAAGGGTAATGTTGCATGAACTTGATCCGGGCTGAAACTTGCGATCTTGTTGCGGCATTCCAAGACACGACCGTTTTCGCCGTTGAACAGCTTGTCACCGGTTGGGTCTTTCACCCACAGCTGTCCTCCCTCATGCTTTCCCAAAGTCGTGATCTGATTGACTGTACCCTTCAGGTTATGACAATCTTTGGGGAGGAGCCTCAAGATCTTTGCTCACTTGAATCGTTGACCACCCTCCTGATGCACCTCTCTGTCTCAGGTATTCGTTCAGGTAGCTGATGAGCATTGGGCGTTTGTCTGCTGATTCGGTCGCCCCTACGAAGTTGCCATGGGCGTACGCTCCAAAGCTGTAGCAATAACCGTTGCTTGCTATGCTGCGCTTTGAATTTCTAGTGAACGGTATCATCCAAAGTAGCTTCAGACACGTTGCCGGACGGAAGTCGAGTGCTTCGATTGCTGCCGATGCTGCTAACCCCGAGTCGTAGAGGTAGTTCTCGGCGACATTGGCGACGTTCTGGTCAGCCTCATCCTCGGCCGCATTGTTTCCCTGGGATGATGTACTCTGGCGCTGACCCTCGTCTTCTGCTGAGCTTTCTGAGCTTGAACTGGAGCTCGAGCTGCTGCTTTGTATCGCTGCTTGTTCGACTTCATCTTGCTTGCGCTTCCTTACTGCTGGTGTAGGTTTCCGCGATTTTGGCTCCGGCTCTTCTGTCTTGTCTGGGGCGTCTACAAACCCCCGCTTGCCCTTGGGTCCTTCGGTCAATGACTCCGGTAAGACGGGAATACCGTTCAGCAAGCAATGGGATAAAACTTCTTCCTCAGACGCTGGTCTCAATGAATGAACAGAACATAGAACCGGCAATCCCCCATTCACGACCCAAATAGCTTCCTCGCTCTCCTTCCCGATCACTCTGGAAGTTGTGCTCCACTTGGTTCCACCTACTTGGGCATCTCTACGGTAAACCACGTAGTCTCCTGTGTTGTACTTCTCCTTGATTGGGGATGCGATCTTTGTCAGGGCTTTCTGGATACGTTTGCTTGTATCTAACTTTACCATGGCTTTCTTAGCTTCAATCCTGCTCTTCTGTCTCAATGCGAATGCGTCTGCATCATTGAACTTCCCTTCCATGGCGCCAATGTCATTCCAAGTGGTTTCATCAGTCAATGTTCCAAGCTCAGTCGGATTCCGTCCCAATACCCATTTACTAGGCGAAAATCCCGATACGTTCATAGTTGAGTTCTTGACTGGTATCACTTCCTGAATAACACTCCGCAGGGCACTCGCTCCTACGGTTCGCACACACACGACACTGTCTTACGCACGGCTGCATTTGCCAGGCCACCGTGCCTCTCGACTTTTCCCAGCATCCAAGGTGCCTCTGTTGCCGCGAAACGCACATCAACGCCCTTCTCGTTGAGGTAGCTTGTGAATGTTCCTCTGTTGTGGGTTGCTCTGTCTGCCATGACACATCTCGGCAAACCTGCCCATCCGTTCCGTCTCTGAAATGCCTCCAAACACATCTCCGCTGGTGGCGGGCCATGATTCTCCCTTGTCACTTCTCTCAGGAGTTCTAGTTGTTGGAATCCAGTTGCTAGATCCACGATGTTCAAGCACTGACACCTCCGTCTTCCCGAATCCATTGTCTCTAGAACATCTCCTCCAACCACGTCTCCGAACACGTAGTTCCCTTGATCCAACCCTACAGGATGTGCGCGGGGCTTTGGGCTTGTCTTCTCGCACATGTCGCACTTCACGAGCTTTGCTGCTTCGATGAACTCCTTTGTGGCACCCCCTGCTCTGAGGATGGCTTGCAATGTTCGGTCTTCATCCTGTACCATCGCTCCCGCGCCATCATCTTCCTCGGAATCACCCTCAAGCTCAGCGTCAACACTCGAGCTAGCCACATAAGCTGCACTCATAGCATCAAGATAGGCTTCTTCACCGATGGAAACCACCAGATTGTAGAAGTCATCCGTGTTCGTGTCACAAAAGGCTTTCGGAGTGAATCCTGTACCCTCAAACCACGAAGCTATACTTCCACTAATCTGGCCGGCCTTCGGTCCGACACACGAAATACATGCATCACCTGCTGTTTCTATCATGTCGGCTCCTATGGCATCGCCATCCAGCTTGCCCAACGGTGCAAGCACACATACATTGACAACTGATGCATCTGCTTCACAGAACAGGTTGATGCATAGGTTGGGGTCAGGATTCAGGGTTCTGTAAAGGACAATCCCAGGCCTGAGCTCGTTCACCTCATGGGTGAATCTGTTCCACTTGAAGTCTTTCGCCAAATGCTCGGAGATACCCGGAAGGTTCACTCCGCTGTTATCATGGATAAGGAAAGTGCTGCACGGCGTTTGAAACTGTGGAAGTTTAAAACCTTTTACCAACGTCAACTTCTAATCCCTTGTCAACACACGGGCGGCCCACACTAATTTCTCGCTGTGCTTGAGCCGTCGTTTGACCTACGGAGACACGCAGTGAAACTAGCTAAATTGGGCATACACAGGAAATTGAAATGTTTGTTATGCCCTCATCGACTCAGGTTGTATTGTACAACTTGATTCGATCCTCAAACAATTTCTACCATCCATCCACTTCACCATTGTCTCATGCTCACTTAGAGCCTTGCCATTTATCGCATGCTCCTTTGAGCGTCATCTTCGCTTTCACCATAATCTTCCTCTTCATCTTCGCTTGTCGTGGATGTAGTTGACTTCAAGCCCTGTAACGGAAAATTTTCAGTGAAACTGTTGCTTGCGAAACCTACACTCCTTTCCGAAAGTAAAGCAGGCTGCACTCACTCCCTTTTTCACGTCGCGGTAGACGCTGTAGTCTGTGCTGCCTTCGGTAGGCTAACCTCACTCCTCATTTCAGCCTTTAGCTGTCGTTGCGCTTTGTCGTAGACTGGTCGAACCAATCGTCATTTTGCACGGCCTTTGTTCATCCGTGGCTTTCTGTTAGCATCTGCAAGTAAGCATACAGCCTTTCTCGCATGCTAAGTGAAACTTCTTTGCGTCCTCACGGTTCGGCGTCTTTCTTGAAAAATCACCTTTCTCGCGTAGGCGTACATGGGTACTAAACTTTCTCTTAGTCCAGATTACCGCTTCCTTCGGCCCCGTTTTTCTTTCTTCTCGGAACTCTCAGCTATCCTTTTCTTCTCCGTCTTCTTCTTATCATCTTTCTTGTCCTTCTTCCGATCATCTTTCTTCTTGTCGCCTTTCTTTTCTTCCTTAGTCTTGGTGCCCTTTGTCTCATCCTTCTTCACATGGTCCTTGCTTGAACCGGCACCGCTTTCACCTTTCTTTTCATCTGCCTTTCCTTTCTCATCTGCCTTCTTCTCAGCATCATCATCAAGCTTGATCACTTTGGGCTTTTCCTTATCGTCAAGCTTCTTCGTCTTCTTAACCGCATGCTCCTGACCCAAGCTTGGATTGGGTCTTCTCTTCTTGTCTTCATTTGCTTCGTAAGCTGCCACTTCATCCTTCCAATGGCAAATATCTGGGCTGTGAGCCCCTCACCCGTCATCCTTTGATGGGCTTGTTCCAAAGGTAACTTCTGGATTTTCGTCTGGCGTATCCAGCAGTTTCTGCACCACATGTGTTTCGGTTTGGTGCGATCACCTTCTTCCGGCAGCCATCCGCACTCGCGCTTGGCGTCAGCTAACATCTCTTTGCACGAAGCGCTCTTGTGACCCCGACGTTTGCAATAATAACAGCTTGCATCTCCTTTCTGCCACCAAGGGGTTTCACCTTCTTTGTATTCTGGTGTTCCCGTCGGTTCAGCAGGTCTATCGCTGCCCTTTACTGCTACTTCAAGCTTCTTCTTCAACTCTTCAACTTTCCGGGAAGCATCTTCATCTTTGTTATCCTCATCAGTTGCCTCTGGCTGAACCATAGTGGCTTTGGCCTCTTCTTTTCTTGGATCTGCCTTCGTTCACCCTTCTCATTTTTCGTCTCACTTCCTGCACTCCCTGTGCTCTTTCCTCCCGGCGTACCAGCCGCCGATGCTGTCGCACTTGCTTCTTTCCTCATCTTGGCATTTCTGAGCACTTCAGCTAATCCTTTTCGCTTGTGTTCCAGACTTTCGTCTGGCTGTGTTCTTAGGCGTTCCAGATGCGGAAATGCTTTCAGCAGTTCTCCGATACACACTTGGGTGTTACCGACTATCTCCGCAAATGCCTCAACACACTGCTTTGATTGCATCACTTGGTTCACCTGAGCTTTTGAGTCTGCCAGCTCATCTTTAACCGACTCCATCTCTTTTCTCCTTGCTTCGAGCTTCTGCTCCATTTCCTTTTGGAGTTCCATCACAAAAGAGTCGTAGTTGGTCTCCATTGCTCTTAACTCCCTTCAGCACGAACTTCATCTTCTCCAAGTATCGTCAACGATTCTTCGTGCTCTTGCGCTACATCTGCTAGCTTGTCTTTCGGACTGTTCATCTTCAACAGGTAACCAACCGGCAAGTTGGCTATTGGCCTTTGCATTGTTTCTCTTAAATCTATGAATTCCCGCACGAGGCTTTCTGTCGGCAGTCCCTGTTCCAGGGCTCGCACGTTTATCCGATCCGACACAGCTTCCCACATCGAATCTGATACTGGATCAGATCCTTGCTTCAAATCCGAGATGCTTACTCCTTCGTCACTTGGCTTCATCTCTGCATCAGCATCTTTGTTTTCTGCCGCTTCTTTAACCTCTGTGCTCTCTTCGGCTTTTTTTTCTTGCTCCTTCTCTGCTTCTTCTGGCTTTGTGCTCCCTTCGGCCTTTTCTTTTTCTTCCGTCTCCACCAGTGCTTTTCTCCTTTTGCTCGCTTCTTCACTTTTCTGCTTCAGCTCTTCGACCTTTTCCGCCATCAAAGCTGCTTGCTCAGCTTCGGCTGTGATCTCGTCTCCAGTCTTCTTGAACTCCGGCGGTACTTCCACCTTCTCTTCGGCTTTCTCTTCTTCCTTTTCTCCTTCTTCTTTCTTTTCATCACCGCTTGAGCTCTCGTCATCTTCTGCTTTTTCCTCACTTTCGCTATCCTGAGGCTCTGTTCCTGCCTCGCTTTCTTCTTTCTTTTCTCCAGCCTCTTCAGCAGTATCCTCCCTTGGAGGTGTCTGAGCATCTTCTCTTAACCTGTTCAACTGCTGGACTTCCTTCCAGATCTCATCTATGGTCTGGCGGTTTTCTCGATCTCGCTTCAGTTGCTTCTCGTAAAACGTCACACTTTGGATGCTCTTGCAATCATCGCGGATCATCACTTTAAGCGAATTATCGTCCGCCGTCCGCCATCTCTTCTTCTCTTTTTTGATTCTTTCTTCTTCTTTCTCTCTTCCTTTCTTCAGCTCTTCCTTAGAGCTTGACCTGTAAATGGCCGCGGAAATGCACATAACACACATAACAACCATGCTCATGCCGCACATGACACTCAGCTTCAGTCCTTGTGCAACTTCTTCAGCTTGTTCTTTCCTTGGCCTCGGATAAGCTCATCAACACTCCGGTCGTAACCGCTTGAATAATCCTTGTAATCAGCTTCTCATCGAACTTCATCACCTTTCCTCTCTTTGCACTTGCTCTTCTCACCATATCATCTTTCTCTTCCTGCACTTCGTCATCGAGAAGTTCACCTACATAGCCGAGTATGACCATGTATTTCTTTATTTTGTCGAGGGACAGGGATTTGGTCCCTAGGTCCGAGGGGCTGTTCTTACCCACTATCGCCTTTATGATAGGCTTCGGGATGTGTTGTATCCAAAGGAGGTCGGCGTCTAAATGACGCGCCTTGCCTAAACCTTTTCTCGAGATAAGCTGCCTTGAGCTTGATGAATCCGAAAACAACACTAGCTTAGGCTCAACTCCTAGGATCCTTTCCAACAATCCTTTCAAGAACACTGCTTCAGACAATATCGAAGTCGCTGCAATTGTCTCAGCTTCACAGGAACTTAGCGCAATTCTCTTCTGTCTTTTGCTTTGGAAACGAATCAAATTTCCGTTCAGCATGATCGCTCCACATGATACGCTTTGCCTTGTCTCTCGATCTGCTGCCCAGCCTGAGTCCGTTAGCACTTCGATCAGGCTTTGCTCTTTCTAAACATCTCTCACACCTTCTTCTGTTCCTTGTTTCTCTTCTCTGAAAAACTTTTTCCAGGGTAACTTCTCTTGTGTACCAGTGTCAACTCTGGGTTACCCTTCAGGTACTTTGCTGTATACCTCAACATCTCCATATCAGCTTGTGCTGGCGCCGCTAGCTTCGTCGATAGCTTCTTGAGAACATACATGATGTCTGGCCTCTCCGGTGCCAGATACAGTAGTATCCCAACGCCTTTCCTGAAGATGTGATGTTCTTCCGCACTCAGCGGATCCATTCCACCTTTCTTTGCTTGAAAAGCTCTTCCATTGTCAGCTGGACACGGTAGTTTCTTTGGATAAGCATTCTGAAGTTCCAACACTTCCAGAAATCCTTCAACGTACTTCGTGTTAATCATGATCTCAACGTCACCATTGTTGCTTGACTTGACGCTTCTTTTCAGAAAACTCATCGACCCTTCTTCCTCATCCAGAGGTCGTTCAACTTTGATCTTAAATCCTTTGCTTCTGAGGAATTCCACCAATTTCTTGAACTCTTCTCTTGATGCATATAACTCCATGTCATCTACATGAGTCAACACGATAATTCCGTGACCGTTCTTCTTCGGCATCCTTGCGAACAGTGCTGGTAATCCTGGGTCGCTTTGTAACCCGTACTCCTGTAGATAACTCTTCAATTTCCCGGCACTACTTCCGATTCGCTGTCCAGGTAGCGTGAACCCTCGTTCATAAAACTCGCCATCTACTTCAACAATCGTTGGCTCTTCTTGCTCCACCAGAAGAAAGGCGTCACCAACATCGATGCTTCCCAACGTGTATCCTTCAGACGACGTAAACAGGGCTGAAAG